CGACTGCATAATTGTTTGACATAAATCTGAGGATAAGTTATGAGGCGAGCGCTAAAAATTATTAATTATTTTGTTTCGAGTATATAATCATAAATACGTTTTAAATTCAGTGGGTTTTACGTAGTTGCTTAATGTATAAAGCTGCCCCTAAGCAAATGAGGTGAGACAAGGGAGCTAAAATAAACAATAGTTCGGCCCCAAGGACTGATAAAAAAACCGGTTTGAGTAAAAATCATGTTGGCTAATTGAAATATTGATTATGCAAAGTAGTAGAGTCAAAATAATTCAAAAATCAAAAGGCTTCGATAAGCTTTGCTCATAATAAGCTGCACATAAAATTATGAATATAAAAAAATGAATAAAAGTGAAAAATAAGCTGATCTTAATAAGTGCGTTTTAGAAATGAACAAGTAGGAACAATCATTTTAAAAATTCATAATAAGCGATTTATCATTTAAAAGAATTATGAATCACCTAAATATTGACAGAACGCATTTATACTAAATATGCTATATAATAATACGAACCTCGTCGTTTACAGCTAAAAGTCCGGTACTCTCAGCGAGCCCTCCGGGATTCAATCGAGAGATAAATATACCAGGTACACGTTCGATACCGGTAGGAGTAACTCGAACACTGACGCCATCACGAATAAAAAATCCAAGAGGTTTCGCATCAGATCTGATTAAGCGGACACTAAATATAAAAGAAAAAAGGTTGAAACGAGCAAAACGATGTAAAAATAACAATGGAAATAAACACTAATAACACAAGGCATAAATAAGGATATAGAACAAGTGAAATGACTTATTAAAAGGGTAGAGACTCACCGGCGCATTGTTTCAGGGACAATATCGATGTCTATGATAGATGATACCTTACGAAAGTCATCTAGTAAACTAATGGCACGGTCATGATTTGCCTTTCTTTCACTTCCGCCCATAGATCTAACCAGATCAGCCGCCGCCTTTTTCCCTCGGATTCCTTGCGAGGAGGAACGATAGCCATTTATTTCACCATAACTTTCGCCTTAAAGTATAAAAAATAAAAACAGCAACCTTTTCGTTGAAGGAGAAGTCGAAGTAAGGTCGTAGTAACTTTTAGGGCTCGGGCAAGATTTTCATCATTATTGATTGGGAGCAAATCGTTATCCTTCGGATCTACATATTGAATAACAAAAGGAATTGAGTAAAGCCCATGTCTTCTTTCTAAAAGTTGATAGAAATCCCGGAAAGTACTGATGGCTGTAGATGCAATGCTGAATCGACGAAACTCAGCATCAAACTAGCATGTATTTACAAACGAGAAATGCACTTAATACCTTGCTTTTTATCTCAATCAAGCCCGCAAAATCCATCGACGACGGGAAGGTAGACACAAACGTATAAGGCGCACTTAGAACCTTAAACAAGAGGTAAATAACAGCCCGATAAAATAACTAAATGTCAGTTTAATAGTTATTCTGTTGTAAATAAAAATATTCTATCATTTATTTTATTTAAAAATGGTGAATTGAATATTTTATTGAGAAAATTGTGGTTGTCATAAAAATGCTATTAAGATTAATTCAGCATATACATCAATTATTTATAATAAAAGTGAGTTGCTTATTAAACGAAATTTGAAAAATCAACTATATATATTTGTAATCTACAAT